ATATTAGCATATTGTGATAAAGTTCATTATTTTCCATAATCTGAATGATAAAACTTAAACATTCATGTATCTTAGATTCAATGCACACTAACTGAAATATTTCAGGTCTTTTATTGTCTTAATACGGATAATTTTGGCATACAGCTCATGAAAACCCAAAATTCCTATCACACAAAATTAGCATATCATGGAAAAGGTCTCTAAACGAGCTATGCACCTAATCATCTGAATCAACAAATTAACCCTAAACACCTGCAAAAGATTCCTGAGGCCTTTAAAACTCCCAGCCTGGTTCATCACTCAAAACCCCAATCATGGGTAAGACTGCCGACCTGACTGCTGTCCAGAAGGCCGTCATTGACACCCTCAAGCAAGAGAGTGTGTCACAGAAAGATATTTCTGAACCAATAGGCTGTTCCCAGAGTGCTGTATCAAGGGACCTCAGTGGGAAGTCTGCGGGAAGGAAAAAGTGTGGCAAAAAACGCCGCACGAGAAGAGGTGACCAGACCCTGAGGAAGATTGTGGAGAAGGGCCGATTCCAGACCTTGGGGGACCAGTGGAAGCAGTGGACTGAGTCTGGAGTAGAAACATCCAGGGCCACCGTGCACAGGCGTGTGCAGGAAATGGGCTACAGGTGCCGCATTCCCCAGGTCAAGCCACTTTTGAACCCGAAACAGCGGCAGAGGCGCCTGACCTGGGCTATAGAGAAGCAGCACTGGACTGTTGCTCATTGGTCCAAAGTACTTTTTGCAGATGAAAGCAAATTTTGCATGTCATTTGGAAATCAAGGTGCCAGAGTCTGAAACCATCCCTTTTTAATGGAGTAAATACACAATAATAGAGATGATGGTTTAAAGGCTTACCCAACAGTGCTGATTGGGAAACACTGCTGAGGTCAAAATAGAGATTTAATCAACACTGACATTTTGCAATATGGCTCACTTTATTAGCCAGAGACAGATAAGAGGAGTACTTTTTTTTTTTTTACTTAGCAAAGTGCATGTAAATATGAGTCATAAATAAGGCCAACTCTGTCAGAAAACAGTACAATAAAACATACAATACATAAAAAAACAGTAAAATCAAACAAGAAAAGTAATCTACTTTTACAGTCTTAACCTTATTAGTTCATGGATAAGATACACATTATTATTCTAATTCCCAGCACCTTTGATCTGCAGGTCCAGAAATCAATATAAAGCAGCAAAACAAAAACCTGCATGAGACAAAAAAAAAAAAAGGTTTGAGGAAAGATGCTAATTAATTACTACTTTTCAAACATCATAAAATATGAAACATACAAAAAATATGAGATGGTAAATAATTACAGAAGAAAATAAACTACATAAATCAAGGCCAGCTTTATGAAAGTACATTTACTTTGCTAAAAGGATTGTTTTACAGTCATGCTTGTGAGTGAATGCACCCTCTTTTAGGTATTTGATTTTATATGTTTATAGATATTAATAAGTATGCTCAACAGCCAATTTGATCTATGTAGAACTTCAGATGAAACAGAACATTTAATATAGTAGCACTGAGCTGTGTCACAATTTAAATGAAGAATATTAAGCCAAAACAGAGATAATGTTAAAAATATATATTGTTTGCACTGTCTGATCCCAGATGCAGCAGGTACTGCTTATCAAACACTCAACCTTTTTGAGTTTCAGGACTTCAATGGAATCTCTTAAATGGTTTGTTATAATGCTGCATTTCATTTGTACTCAGAATATCTGACCTGTGAGCAGATAACACCCGATTTCTGAATTCAAGAAGGCTGCTTTTCACATTAGAAGTGGTTACACTTTCCTTCTTTGACTGTTTTTAGACATTTTTCATTATTAGTGGTTAGGGCATTGCACTTGGACTCCAGAGGTTCTGAGTTCGAGCCCCACTCCCACAGACTGCCACTCTGGGTCCCTGAGCAAGACCCTTAAATACCACATTGCTCTCCGGGCGCTGTACAATGGCAGCCCACTGCTCCCCAAGGGGATGGGTTAAATGCAGAGAGTGAATTTCATTGCTTTGTACTTGTGACAGTGTAATGACAATAAAGTTGAATTTTATTGTATTCTAATTAGTCATATATGCTCTACTTTAGTTTTTAAAGACTTGATGTTCCAATGCTGTTTATATGCACAAAATACTGCATAGAAGATCGGATCGCCATCATGTCAAAAATGACATCACCCCGACTTCCCACTTCCAAATTAAATGAAGCGCAGAGTAATGATTAAAAGATAACAAGGTTGGAAAAGTGGTTGTTGTTGAAATGTCTTAATCTACAAAAGGTTAAAAGGCTACCTTCAATTTATCTTATTTATAAAAATATTCACCCCATGTAAGCAAGAAAGCTTAGACTGGATGATTTTAAAAACATTTGTCATAAAAAGCTTCACGCAAAACTCAGTAAACAGTTTAGCTCTTCATCTGATGATGAATTATTTAAAAACAAGTGTAAGCTCTTTGGGTAAATAATAAAGAAATTCATAATAGGATATTTTTTCATTGTCTATTTTAAACAGCTAAAATAAGAAAGAGGAGAAATAATAGAAGATCTTTAAAAAAATGCACACATGCTGTTGTTTTGTAAAAAAAAATATTAGATCAAAACAGATGCCTGGTTATTTCAAAAAACAACAACAACAAAAAAAGAAAATGTCAGACTTCATGGGTAATGTCCGTTTCAAAAGCCTTAAGTGTTTGGGAATAATCACTTGCACCATGTGTGGCTAGTAACAATGACAAAGAACAAATAAAAAAAGGCCCAAACATTGTAAAAACTTTCTAACATGATGGCAGACGGTTCGTTGTTATTTTTCTTCTTTTTTTTTTCCCAGCTACAGAACCAGGATAGTATTAACACACACACAGAAACTTCAGGTGCAGGGTTGTCCATAGACACCTCTGACAGTTAAATCCGACGTGAAACTTTCCAACTATAGCTGCAAATCTACAGACACATTTGCACTCATGGCTCAGTTTAAGTTTGGGTTTATACTCTTGCATTGTGATGCTAACTCTGCCAAAGGTGGCAGAGATAACATCAAGCTTAGATCAGTGATTATCTTTAGAATTTGTCAAAAAAAACAAGCACACAATGTAACATAGAGTGGGTTGTTGTTCCTCTGGAATTGTCAGAACTTTGGCAACTCCCTAAAGATCAACAGAGGTATGTTCATGTAACATACTTTCTCAAGACTTAGAGTTTGACTCCCTTTTAAAAATAAAAATAAATAGTCTAGTTAGTCTATGACGTCTGTAAAACATTAATACCTAAGAGTAGTTCATCCTAAGTGATAGTGTTTCTAAAATCAGAGCATTATTTTTTTTTTAAGTGACTAAATCGTCCTGAACTATTTAATGGCCAGCATCACACGGTTTTGCACTGAGGTTTTTGGTTTTTTTGACTGGTGTGATGCGGTTGTGCTTGCATATTGTAGGCCCAGGCTCTGTCCACACCATGTCCCTCAATCCTGCAAGGGTTCCAGTCTGGGAAGGGGAAACGGCCAGCCACCACTAAGGCATCATTGGGAAGCTCGTCCTGCAACTTTTTCTGTAACAATGAAAGCTAGAAACACAGGAGAAAAAGAACAATTACTGCAAAACTTACATGTAACTCAAATTCTATTTCATCCATGGGCTATGCCATTTCTGAATTGTTCATTTCTTTTTTATTACACAATCTGTTTAAATTGGCAAAAAATAAAACTAGGTGATGAAGGTAAGAGGCTTCCTTTTACTTAAAAACTTAAATTAAGTTAAACATGGTTTACATATGACGTAAGAGTGTGTTATAAAAGCATTTCAAAAGGTTGCTTTTCCTGAAGGCTTGCAATTTAGAAAAAAAAATGTCTCTGTAATGCCTTTAAGGGATGCACCATACTTTCTTCCAGCTAAGAGCTGTGTGTTCAAAACAATACTTACCACACTGGGAGCCAGAAACACTGTGACATTCTTGCATTTTGACAAGTCGATCTGAGATGGAACACAAAGAGGAATGTAAACTGAACGACAGGTTTAAGAAGAACCAAAACGGCAAGAAACACCCTAAGCAGTTTTTGTTGTTTTTTCTTTTTTTTAAATGACTTTTTGTATTCATGAGTTTCTTTAGCTATGTAAGCTATCCAAGAGTCAAGTGATTTTACAAAAGAACCAACAACTGTAAATGGGTTTATAATAGGGCTGAAACAATTAATCTAATCAATTGGGATTAATCGGTTATTGAAATAATCGTCGACTAATTTAGTAATCGATTAATCATTAACTGGAGTATAGAGACTAAAACATGCCTTTAGCTGACAGAGCGACCAACTTAGAGCAGTAATTATATCAAAATTAAAAAAAAAAAAAAAATAAAATATATATATATATATATATACATTTAGCACTTAAGATGAAAAAAATGTTCATCTGTCAATATTTTCCTTCAGAACTCCTCAAGTGGAAAAGTTTTAGTTTAACAGATTAATCAATTGCAAAATAATTGTTAGTTGCAGCTCTAGTTTAAAGGTGTTTGGACACCTATAATTAGTGGTAGAGCAAAGTCTAAGCCTTTATTGGAACAGCATATTTGAATTCTTGTTGAGTTTGTTCAATACTCTCCATTGATATATGTGAAAAAATGTCAAACCTTCCAGAGATCTTCTTGTCTGTATGACACTTTTCCATGGTGACCTGCTCTCCAAGCATGAAAGCGAGCCAGCTGTACAAGCCAGGGGTTGAGCTCATAACCGACCGCAGGAGCAAAGCCATGCTGATAGGCTTCCAACACCTGAATGGTCAAAGGAAGCAACTTCAGACCAGAATTCAGTGCTGGAAAATGAGTTTTAATCTTGCAGTTGTACTTACAATACGACCATCGCCTGATCCCAAGTCGACCAAACCTCCTGTTCTACCTCTCATCAAACTCATCACATTTTTTACTTGAGCTTTGCTAGCAGGGATGTAGGGGACCTGAAAGGATTTTATGTTTAGACAGAAGGCAAAACCTTCAAACTGCAGCAAAGTTTTAACAATGATGCTCATTAAAACCTGTAGCTTTAGTGGCACTTTTCTGAAGCCAGGCTGAAGGAGTCCAACCCACATGGCGTAGACTGCAAGCCCAGTGCCAGCAGCTATCTGCACAACTCCCCAAACTCCAAGGTGCTTGGTTCTGAGCTCAGCCAGCGCCTCATTTGGCATGTCGTCATCCATCTCTGCAAGAAATCAGAAAGTCTGAGTCCAACTATGTTAAAATATTACAAAAAATGTCTTTATCCATGTAAAGGTCTAGAAAATATGTAGTCTTTGTGAGAACACTGTATATATAGTTTGCACTACAGTTGATGACTCTGTAGTTACACATCAGAGGAGTATTACTTCACTTGATGTGTGAAAAAAGACCCAACATTTACATGCAAAATAAAAATAGACTTGTATTCATCCCTAAGTGAAAATATATATTTTTTCAATGTAGTGCAATATACATCATACATATAAACGATTACAATATAAACATACAATTAATGAAAAAATGCTTCAGTCAGTTGGGGAAATGATTTGAATTACCACTGTAAATTGATCATTTCAATGGACCAATGTATAAAAGAAGACATAGATTTAGCCCCGGGAAGCCTAAATAATGTATATGACATAATTTATCATACATACAGTTAAAGTTGATCCGATGCAAACGATAAACACGTTGTGTATTTCAGCATTTCGCGCTGTTTCTGCCGAAATCACACATTAAAATAATCTACACGGTGCTATTATGTACCATGCGACGTTTTCAGAATAAATAATACTTTTCCACACGACAACAAAAAAACTAAACGCCTAAGTTCTGAACGTAAACAAAAACTCAGAGAACATGATGTTCTCAAAATAAAAAAACCCTTCAGCGGTGCATTCGGACATATTACCGTGTAGAACAGGTGCATCTGCAAAATATTCCGTATTCTGAAGTTCCGGAGAAACGAAGTCACTTTATTTGTGTGGGGAGGAGTTTGGTTTCGTCAAGAATATTTATGTACGGTTTTATTATATCTTTCTCAGACTATTAAAGCTTGAAATTGTTTTAATACATTGAAATAATAAAAAAAAAAGCACCAATGATTGTCTAATGTAATTTTAAAATGTAACTTAAAGGCAAGTCTCTCACAAAAGTTGAATATATAAGATGTATCAGTCTTTAGCAATTATGTTGCAACAAATTGTTAATTTTCTCATAGCTGAGTTTCAGCCTTACAAATAAAACATTTAATGCTACCGTTTGTGATTAAAATTCCTTATTAGAAACTATACATCATGACACACACACACTAGGAAACCCTTTTAATTTACTAACCTGCTAGAATTTAAAGGTTAAATTTAAAACGAGCCAGTCTTTAATACAGCCTGTTATTGTAGGAAGTATTGTGATTAAAATGTTAAATTATAGGAAAAAAAACAAAAACAAATTTATTAAACACTTGCAAGTATTACTTTCATTTTATTTTATTCTTTTAACATTCACAGGCATATATTTAAAGCTATTGCATTTGGCTCTTGTAAAAAAAAAAAAAAAAAAAAGAAGAAGAAAAGAAATATAAATAATATCAAACAACTTTTATTTTAGCTGGAACATTAAAACAAGCGACTTCAAATTTTTTATTAAAAGGTTTACAAAATATGTATGAATGCACAATTCAACAACAAACAAAAGTGACACAGTCCATGTTTAGTCAGTGTCTGCATCGTCGCTAATGATTCCATGCAGGTTGGCCCACTCTGACATCTTTCTGCGTCCTTTGAGAGGAACGTTTTCCCGATCACTATCGGAATCAGAGCTCAAAGTGCGATGATAATTGGATGGAGGGTCTTTCAGTTCCCACATGGCTGAGGTTCCTCTGCGTTTAGGCCGACCTGAAAGGTGACCATAGATCATTAGATAATGCACCACAAAAGCTTATTAAATGCCATATAAAAATGACCAGATCTGGACTGTAATGTATTGCAAATGCCTTTCCTATATACTATTCATCTATTAAAGTTGGTAGAAAATACTTTGATCTTCTTATAACGTCAGCAAAACAACTAGATTAAACATGTTTTTCATTATGGCGAAATGGCTTAATTATCGCAAGTCATCTGTGGCATCTAGAAACAACCACCTAACCACAATAATGTATTAGTATCAGGTACTTACTCATTTGGGTTTGATGCTCATAAAACCCCAAAATAAAAAGAAATAAACAAATTCGAAGATACCTTGAGTGGTGATGATATTGTGGACATCAAGTTCAGCCAGTTCCTGAGCTTCCTCCCTCTTTAATCGAATTTTCTTACATTTCTCAATAGAAGGGTTACCTGCATAGAAGGGGAAAGGCAATGTTACTATAAAGAAGGGTAATAATATAGTAACAGTTTGTTCAAATTGATTTGAGAAAAACAGAACACATTTCTACAAAACAAAAAAAAAAAAAAAAAACTCAACATAAAACACAACAGGAATCAAGTTTGTGAGAGATTTGTTTTTGGGCAAATTTAAAAGGCAAAAATAATAATGGGATCCCTCCAACTGAGCAGCGTCTCTATTTGGATTTTTTCTAGGTTAGTAGAAACTGAAATAGAGAAGAACAGATTCTGAGATAATCTCATGCTCTTCTGATAATTTACAACCATTTTTGTTATCCTCTTTTGGAGGTTTCTCTCTTCCTCTGATTAACATTTTATACCATCGCTTTAAAAGGAAACCCCTAAGATTTGGGGTCTGTAAAAAGACAAACGTATCCTCACTGACCACGGACACCAAGGTCTTCCAGTTCCTTCTTCAAAACAGCCACTTTGGAGCGAATGGAACGGCAGTCATCTAGCAGCTTCTTGTAATTCTTCCTTACACCACAGAGGGCGATGTAACGTTTGAGTCGCACAACTGCTTTGTCTTCCTCCTGCAGGTTTAAAAAGACAAGAAAAAGAATATAACATTATGTCTTGATTCGAATACTATAAATGAAAGCTGTTACTCCTCTTCTTTCACCTTTCAGCAGGTCAACAGTAAGAACACTACCCAGGGTAGCAAATACTCCTGACTGCTGTGCTGAATCTAGTTAGCCTTCAGCCTTATAAACGTCCATGGAAAGGAGGTGCAAATGAATGATGCTCATCAAATTGGTGCAAATACAATTTGTCATGCAAATGATTGTAACAGTCTGTATAGCTCCTATGCGCCAGTTAGGAAAGTTGGAAGATCAATGAACTCTCAATAGGAAGAGTTCATTGATCATACGGGCTTCTTTTTCTACATCCTTCTTAACTGCCAGTACTATGCAGAGCATGCTCCCACTTTAGCTTAGCAATCCTTATAGATTTGATGAATTTGAAAGGAGCCATGATCTTCTTAGTCTTCACTACCCATACAAATTAACATGATTTTTTTTATTTATATACTGTATTTTTTCATATGCTGTGATGTTTTGCCGTTTTCTGCAACTCATGCTGCAGAAATTTCAAATCAAAATTTTTATTATCTATGAACATTTCAATCAATCCTCCAAATGGAATATTATATACATGTATACACACACATATACACATACATGCATCCATGATGAGCTCACCTTTTGACCTCCGTTCTTTTTGCCCACGTTTGCTTTCTTTTTCTTTTCATTTTTGTTTTTTTTCGGGCTGCTTTTCCGCTCATCCTCTAGTGAAGGCAGTGAAGATGAATCTGAGTCGGAATCATTTTGCTTCTTCACATCTTCTTCTATTTAAAACAGCAGAAGAGCATCCGACAGCCTGTTAACCACGACCATACACACGTAAGCATATTTAAGCCATGCTGAACAGTTACCTTTTTTAGCGGCAGAGGAATCTTCCTCCCCGTCTTTGTCACTTTTCTCTGACTTGCTGTCTGCATCACTTTCACTCTCCTCATCACTTCTCTGTGGTTTTTCTCCTCCACTTGTATCGGTGGTTCTAATCTCTTCCTTTTTGGCAGCACTGGCCTTCTTTTTCACAATTTTCTCAGGACTTGGACTCTCATGCCCACTCTTTTCTGACTCTTCAGATGAAGAATCATCACCTGACACACGAGGTTCAGCTTCGCTTTCATGTTCATGGTCAGATTCTTCTGCTGCTACTTTAGTTTTAGGCAGCGGACTGACTTGTTCTTTGCTTTGACTTTTTTCTTTACAGTTCGGCTCATCCTCAGAATCTGTGAGAAACATAATAACAGCAAGAAAAAAAAAAGTATCAATGACATTTCCTGATGCAAGTCACATTCGTTGCATAAAATTCAACCACAGAACTCACGAAATGAGGTTTCATGAAATGAAATAAGCTGTGATATGAAAACATGTCATTAGAGAAAGCCTTGCTAATTATTAAACTTTACATAAGTTAGTTACATCAACGGCTGTTTATGTGAAATAAAAACTTATACCTTTAAATGTAGATTAGAATGGAAAAAACAAAATTTATTTCCTGCTAGAAAGCTAAAATGCACCACCATAAACCATCATACCTTACATGTGAACATTTTCCCAGTCCATACCAATGGAAATGCAGCAGCTCAGAAGTTTCAACAATAACTACATGAAAAATGGTGCATTGCATTCGCTTGGCTTCGTTCATGGAGCTTCAGTTTATACTGTTGAGCAATAATTAAATGCTGCAGCAGGTTAAGGTCTTTAAATACGAGAGAATCCATCTTTGAAAATCTCAGAGGATCTTTTCTTTCCATGTTTTCTACTGATATAGAACTGGATTATGGAGAAACCTGTAAAAATTGAGATTCATTTCTTCTGTCAACTCTTTTGTAGCTATTATAAGATAGAAGACAAATCTTATGCTACAAACCCCTTATCTCAACTCTCCTTTAATTTCCTGGCTGTGAATCTAGAATTCCTGTTTACAAGATGGTTCAACTGAAGTCATTAAATGTGGAAAAGCTGTAACTTCACATCAGAGCTGCTTACGAAGAGTAGAACATCTCAGCAAAACATCAGAGAGACAGTATTCACCCTTTATGTTCCACAAGTGTTTTAGCTGTTGTGCATCAGAACATTAAGACTTCTGCATTTTCTCTTAATTCAATACTTTATTAATGTACAACAAAAAGGGCTGCAAGTTGATGCATAAAATGGGATAGAAAAAAGGTGCATTAATATCGCTAAAGAATTGTACAGGACATTTAACATTAACTAACCAGTGACAGATTCATTATTGATTTATTCACTACCTGATGAAGAGGTCAATGCTTGTGATCTGGATTTCTTTGCCTTGGATTCCGTTTCATCTTCATTTTCCAGCTCCTCGCTTTCTTTCTTCCTTTTCTTTTGTGGTTTCTGTGATTCTGTAGTTTCAGAGTCGCTGTCATTGTTTTCCTACAATGTACAGAACTTTGTTAGCAAAAAAAGTCATTAAAATATTCAACAACAAAAAAAAACTACAGTATTATACATAAACTTCATGCATCAGAAAATAATGACAACTTTGATGCAAACAAATAGAAGTTTGACAATCATTGTGCTTCAGATACCTGCAGTTTCATAAGCTCTTCTTTCACCACCTGCTTCATAATTTGTTTTGCGTCAGAACTTAATGATTCATATCCTGTAAGAGCCAGATATCGTTTTTTCAGTATTCCCAAGGTCAACGTGCTGGAAAAAAAAAAAAAAAAAAAGAAAAAGATAATCACATATGAGGAACATGAAGGATGCAATAAAGTTCATTTTTGATGCCATTGAAAACTACAGTGAAGTTAAAAGGAACCTACGCTCTCTTTAAAGTCTTTATTGTAGGGCTGAAACAATCAATTATCGAAATAATCATCAACTAATTCAGGAATCTATTAATCTTTAACTGGAGTATAGAGACTCTAAAACATGCCTTTAGCTGACAGAGCGACCCATTTAGAACAGTATTTATACCAAAATTGTGAAAAAAAAAACCGAACATATTTGCATTTAAGATTAAAAAACAAATTATCTCCTGTCAATGTGCTCTATTCAAGTGGAAAAGCTTTAGTTTCACCTGGTTTAATTATGTTAAAAAATGTCTTCTTTAAAGAACCTTTCACCATCTGATTAATCAGAAAAATAATTGACAGATTAATTGATTAGCAAAATAATGATTTGTTGCAGAACTAGTTTATTCATTACTTTTTATTACTTATTCTCTGTGAGGCTTATGATAGGAGTAAGGTTAGTTTGTTTTTTTCCCCCATTTACAAAAAAAAAAAATAGTCCACAAACAGAGCATACGGCTAAAGCACAACAGTATAAAACCTAAAAAATATGATGTGCTTCTCAGCATGTGTCACATAAGAAATAATGTATTTTTGTTCATTTACTCCAGGTGCAAACATTTTTCCTGAGATTATCATAAATTAATTTAAAATAATACAAAAGATTATCATTCTTATTGACACAAAAGCATTTAAACTCTTTGCAAAGACACCCTAAAATATGCTCCAGTGCATCTAATATTTACTGAGATATTTAAGGTCCCAGAGCAGAAACTAAAACAATAAGTTATAAGAATTTCTGCAGATGTTCAAACCCCCAATTGGACAGGACCTATGGCTCTGTTAGGGTTATGCTTCATTTAAAATAAAAACAAAAACCTATCAAAGCCATCCGTGCATTTAATTTGGTCTCTGCCTTGCTGAAGCCCACACAGACTGGGCAACAGTGATTATGGACAAGATGGCACACCCACCTCACCCCCTTTTTTTTTCCTAAGGGTCAGTACAGGTGGAGCCTTCGCCCTGTGTAGATTGACAGTCAGGAGTATCATTGCAACTAATGATTATATTGCAAATCGATTAATAAATAATTTTCTCGATTAATAACCGGATAGACGAGGTTCCTTAAAGAAGATATTTTATGAAATTAAACCAGGTGAAACTAAAACCTCACCACTTTAGGAGTTCTATATAGAGCATATTGACAGATGTTAAATGTTTTTACTTTATTTTTTATCTTAAATGCAAAAATATTTATACGGTACATATTTTTTTACAATCTTTATAGAATTACTGCCTAATTGCATCGGTCTGTCAGCCAAAGGAATGGTTTACTTTCTCTATACTTCAGTTAACAATTATTCGATTACTAAATTAGTTGACGATTATTTCAATAATTATTTCATCACGATTAATCCTATTAATTGTTTCAACCCGAATCAAGAGGAAAGTAAGAGTAGAGATGGAATGGCTACGAGGAAAAAAGAACTGGCTGCAGAGAGCTGTAAAATTATGTTGGGAGCAGGTAAGGCATAAACACTAGTTTAGCACAAGCAGCTTGAATGTCAACTTAAGAAAACCAGAACTGAGTTAATTAGGCAGATGCTTTAAGTTCTTATAAAGGACAATGGCAATTAGAAAAAAAAATGTGGCTAAAAAATAAGGTCTGGAAAAAAACAAACAAATATTTTATCTATCTAGGTAAAATATTATTGAGATTAAGACCATATTTATTGCTATACATTGCCAGAGCTGTAGCATCTACTAATTGAATGGATCTGGGTAGCTTTTTTTGTTTTTTTAATGACAGAAGTAGGCAGTGCCGGTGCGGTGAGCCCCCACTAGCGTTGAAACAGCTCTGGTTGCAAAGGAGTTGGTGGACAGCAGTAAGAAATTGAAGCAAGAACCATGAGATACAATTTCAGGCAACAAAAATTTGTTGCGGTGCAACCTTGCTGTTTAGCTCAGACTTTTTCTTTGTTTGTGGTTTTGGTTGGAGATGATGATGATCATCCATCCATCCATTTTCTTCCACTTATCCAGGGCCGGGTCGCGGAGGCAGCAGTCTAAGCAAAGATGCCCGACTTCCCGATCCGCGCACACTTCCTCCAGCTGCTCTGGGGGGACCCTGAGGCGACACCAGCTCAGAGACATGGTCCTTCCAGCGTGTCCTGGGCCTTCCATGAAGCCTTTTCCCAATGGGACATGCCTGGAACACTTTCTGGACTTCCTCCAGACGATGATGATCATGGTTATAATAATAATAATAATTATGATGATTGGAAAGTTTAGTTTAGGCAACTGGATGGGATCAGTTGGTTTACAGGATCACGTCCAGTTAATATTGACCTGGATTACAAAGAATCTTCACAGAGATGGTGATATTTTGGGCTCTGGTCAGGCAAGATCTTTTCACAACAACTTCAATCAGAGGAAATGGTGTCCAGATAAGTTCTCAGGCAACATATATATTTTAGAATAATTGATGTTCTACTTGTGATGATCTGTATAAATGTTTTTTTATTCCCAGTCTGCCCTTGCTTAAACTGATGGAATTTTACAGTAGGGGGATGCAAACCATGGCTTTCCAAACAAAATCAAGCTTATCAGATCAGATAAAATAGTTTTTTTTCAAGTGGTTCTCTTCCTGAAATAACGACATTTGGTCACTAGATGGAGCCAATTGACATTTAAGGGCACGCATTTTCAGAAATAAATTCTAACCACATCATTATTTGGATCATTTGATACGTTTATAACGCTTGCAACTGGAAAATAAAAAACCGCAAAGACACTCAGGTGAACTATAATAGGCTATGGACGATTAAAAGCAAAGGGGAAGGTTGTTCAGTAAACAGCTCAGATACCGCCAGTAACAAACATGGTGGAGACTTCCTCTAAAAAAATAAACTTTTACAAAGTTTATACTTTTAGAAATTCAAAGTGGGGATTTAAACTTACCTTAGGTCTGGTTCATTGCGGAGTTGGCCCTTCACAAATCTTCGGATACCAGTTTTATCCTTCTCTGACACCATCTCTGCTTTTGATGGCGGGAGGCTCAAATGTTGGCGGAAGTGACGCAGGACAAGCCACGCCCCCTCAACGAAAATATCTGGCTTTCGCTCTAAAACTTAGAAGAGTGCAACATAAAGGAGTTATCAGGTTTATTAGAATAATGCGAATCTATGAGAACATCAAAATATTTTTAAAACTTTATAAAAAAAAGTCATATCTGACTCTCTTCAACAAACTGAGGATATTTGGTCAAAGGATTTAATAAATATGAATAAAAAAAAAACTGAATTATAATTAATAAAAAAAATATAAATTCAGAAAGATTTTAACTAGTTTAAAGCACATAAAATTTTCAACACAGAAGCTTCTAAATACAGCACATTTGTAAATAAATACTGATCAATCAGTTTATACTTGTAGAAATATGATCCCTGCATAATTTCTTTAATATATTTGCTAAAAAAGGAAAATGATGTGTTTAAATCAAGCTGAGTTGTTGTTTTTATTATCTTATTTTTGCAACCTTACTATTACCTCCCATTGTGCCTTGGATAACTACTCAATGTAATCACAAAATATTTAACCTGTTTAGTGGTGGTTGCCATAACCCGGATGACTGGGAATTTACATTGGCATAATGTAATCGACCACAACTGTTTAAATTTTTTTTTTATGATAAAGAAAATTCTAATTATGTTTAGATTTTTTTTGTGACATAGCGAATAGAAAAGAGCCAATGTTGGCCTAGTGCTTAAAGCAGTGCACTTTAACTCTGAGAAGGCTTTAAGTACCTGGTTCGATCCCTGCAGTCTTGGTTTTTTAGCGAGATCCCTTAACCCCATACTGCTCCATGGCACTGCGCAGTGACAGCCCATTGCTCCCCAACAGGGATGGGTGAAAATGCAGAGGTAAATATCTCCAGTGTGAGATTAATAAAGTGCAATTATTTTGGGTTCTTTAAAACCTTTGTTAGAAAACATCATTGAAAAGGTGCATCAATATCAAGGAACAGATCAAACATATCGCAATAAGGTTCTGGAAAAACTAAAAACATGGTGATCCTTATAAACAGGGTGGCAGGGACACCATCAACCAGAAAGGCAGCCTCCAAACTGTGAGAGAAATTAGACTAGAGCTGGAGTTTGATCTCTTGCGGGACTTTTAAGGGAAGAGATCAAAGCATATTCATTAGTTACACTGGCCAAACCAAAGTCAAAGTCCACACTAAAAATGAATCCAATTGAAAATAAGAAGGAAGACATAGAAGCATCCTCTGATATTCAAGGGTTCAAGGTATCTTTAATATCCATGGGGGCAAACTTATATAAAACAGCTGGTAGGGTAAAAAAAAATAAATAAAAAAAATCAACCTTTATAAAATAAAGCATCACAATACAGCCATTAAAATCAAACCACTCGCAGTAAGATCAGGTAAAACAGGAATCCTGATTCTGTTGGTTCAACTAGATTTTAAAGTATCTATGTAGTCTATGTCTGGAGGTTAAAAACCTGTAAATAGGGGGTGGTTAGGTTCAGCAAAAATGACCTGTTATCTCTTATAGGATCTACGTATGTTTGTGGAGATATCGTTTTGGGGTAAATTGGCCAATTGGAAACAACTTAAAAGACCTGTGGATATAAAATTTCTAAAACGTTTTAAATAATCGTTTAAATAAAAAAAAATGCACACAAATTAAAAATTCCATCCACTTCCCTAACATAAACTCCTTTGCGTCGATCGAATGAGTTGCTAAAAAATTTGTTTGTGAATGTACCATGTCAAGATCTGAAAAAGTTTTAGTAGAATAATAACTTTTATCGACATGTCCTTTTAATCTAATTTTCAAGTTTATGATAATGTTATGAATCCACTATCAATGTTTTGTTCAGGTTTTGATCAGGACAAGAGTTATGAGATCTTTAGTAATTAGTCCGGCATTTCATCCTTTAAAAAAACAAAACAACAAAAAGAAATAAAAAGTATAAATAGGACGCTGAAGATGGATTTCAAAAGCAATTTATTTTGAATATTTCACGGACGGAAGTACAATTAGTGCATTTTCCATTGTGTTCCAATGTAAAGAGTTGTACAAACATTATTCGCATTCAAGGTTTTTTTTCCTTCTTACTTTTAAGAGTGCTTAATATAAGAAACAAAAAAATAGTACCTTAGCCTCTCCTGAAATGAAAGTCAACAATATTTAGAAAACGACTGTATGGCCAAGTCATTTAGGCAAAAATTCAGTGATTTTGAGTAAGATGAAATGGAAATGAGAGAACATGGCTCAGAAAAATAAAAAACAACGAAGAGAAAAGTCACAGCTCATTTCTCAAACAATCAACAAGAGCCAAGTCATATTAATCTAGAGGAGGAAGTTCAAAATCTGCTAAGTGCAATGGAGTGAACGCTATCACTGCAGAATCTAAACTCACTCAAGCATCAGATAATAAAGAATGATTTCATTTACAAAAGTTAAATACCAAACAATAAATTAAGTTTATAAATTATAAAAAAAGAAGCAAGAAGCAGCATTTATAATAATTTAAACACAGAAAACTGAGCTGCTCGACCACCTTACTATAAACATGGCTTTTCTTTTCTAATTCCAGTGTTAACAAGTCGAGGCTCAAATTCCTCCACGTTTGTCAGTCAGTCTGTTCAGCAGTACCATCTTTCTCCAACAGATAAACCAGATGCATCACAGCCTGGAGAAATGTTTCCTACATATCAAATGGACAAAGCTGCCAGTTCTATTTACACCAATAAACATGGCAGGTGGCCTGCTTCTAAGGGAGAAATGGGTTTTGAGGCTCATTCACTGACATGCATAAATTTTTAACATTTGAAATAATATTTCGACCAGTTTCAGTCACAGTGGACTTCATGCACTTTCTGTTGGAAAGGACAAACAAACATTTATGCACATTGTTTTGTTGTAAACATTAGCAAACTCTCTACTCAGTTAACCACCAGATCCCTGCAAGTGTGCTTAAAGACATTTCATGAAATAAGTAGACTGAACTATTGCTGTGGACAATCCCATCTTTCCTTTCGCAACCATACAAAAGAAAATAAAAAAAAAATTGAATGATCCTTCCATGCTGCATTTTTAATCACAGTTAGTCCTTGTACACAGTTTGCTGGCCGTGTCCTCGTTCATCGTGCATTATGTGCCTTCTGACGTGGATCCGGCGCACTCGTCTGTCTCCTCCCACGGCTCCCTCTTCCTCAGAATGGCCAGCTCCCAGCGATGAACCTGAGCCTCTGGAATCTAAGAGGTGGAACCCTCCCGGACCAGATCGATTGTTCTCATAGATAAGGATATTGAGTGTTTCTTCGAATATCCGTGCCTCAGGAAACTCCACCTAAAAAAAAAAACACACAAACACAAAAAAAAAAAACAGAAATTATTTCATATGAATGCCTTTCTGCTTTATAACCCTGGTCCTTTAAATTCCTCTGAAATTCATGAACATTTTCAAAGAACAGAACAGCTTTTGTTTCCGGGATATTTAACAGTAGCCATGTAACATATCACACACCTTGGTCTGCTTCTTTTCTGTCGCATATACGATGGAGGTACAGCACACTTCTGCGATTTTGCGTCCTTCGCCGTAAAAAGACCAACAGCAGATCTCATCGCCGAGGACGTCTTTCACAAACAGGACCCGGTTGTTGAATCTGAGCACCAGTTTGTCAAACAGCTCGATGTTCTTCAGCAGGTTGTCATCAGAATTGCTAGTGAGAGGACAAAAAATGAGAAGAAAGGGACGAATTAGAACAACCTGTGATTTATATCAATAAAACAAAATACTTAGAAAATGTTTTACCTCGTATAAGAATATTTGTTGTTTCCTCGGTTGTTTTGAAGCTTGACTACTGGCTGCGAACAAGAACAATGAAACAATTGTGGATTACGATTCTAAACAAAATATCTGGTTCAAATCAAAGTTATTTTAAAAGGGCAGGCAACAGAAAAACACAAGTAAATATTTTTTCGAAAGGTTTCTAGTTTATTTTCTGTGAGATTTAGATTCATATTTAGTTACCTTTCGACATGCAGCAATCATTTTCTGCTCTTCTTTGGCTGAAGTGATCATTGGGATGCTGCACACGCTTTCAAAAATGTCCTGTTGTTTCTATAAAGAGAGGGAAGATGATACTTGTTTTTTTTTTAACATGTAAGGGATGAGCTTGAAATTTAACAGATTATAATTTAGCTTCGGACTGGGTGATATGGCCTAAAAATAAAATCTATGATTTCTTATTTTTAATTTAAATTATTATAATTTTCTGATTTCTCCCCCTACTTATTAAAACTTCCATCCATCCTTGGGATCACCGGCACTCTGTTTTGTGTATTTACATGAAATACAGCAGTACGCTTGAAAATAACACTGGTTAAACCTTTACCAATATAGACATGTTATACATCTTTAGAAAGCTTAGATTCTCCACAATTCAACCACTAAGTTAATTTTATGGACACCATGAGTTCCAAAGCACAATTAACAAAGATATATAGCGTATTATATCTGAATTTCTAAAATAAAGCTTCAACTTCCTATCTTTGAAGCATTCCTGAGGTCTTATTAGAATTCCAATCTGTAAGGGTCCACAAATAAAAAGAAATCCAGCATATTCATAATAAAAACATTCCATGAAAAGAAAATCACCACATAAAGTCCATTTTTTATCATCAGAAAAGTTCCATCCTTATAGTTAATGCTAACCGTCATGCTAATTACCCTAGCTTCCACAAACATAGTTGATATTAGGTATGTTTGTTTTCATCACCATCCAGCCTAAGATTCTAGCTGAGGTTTGTTGTTGTGTTCGGGGTTGTTTGTCCCAGAAAGACTGGCATTTTTCATATTCTGCTGTATAACTCTGTTTAAGATGCTGAAAAAGGGTTTGTGGTGCTGCTGCCTTTAACACCTTTAACGCTGCGTGTATGGAGGACCAACTCTGCCATATTTAAAAATGGAATAAAATCATCTGTAAAAAGACAGCAATGTAAAAAGGTCAGAAATAAACAGCGGCGAAGAAATAACTAAAGTAAAAAAATACAAAGGAAGAATAAAAGACAAAAATATTATAACATGCACATAAATAAATACTTTAAAATGTAAGTAATTAAAAAATAAAGTTGAAGATTATTAAGGACAAAAAAAAAAAATAAGGTAAATATTACAAAGGCAAATAAATAAAGAAGCTACTTAAGAGTTATATACATTTATGTCTCACTTTATAATTTAATTTCTACTTACATTTATTTGTTTATTGTATTTTTGTTGGCAATTAATTGTATGCTTATATATTTATTGAGCATTTATTTATTTCTGTACTTATTTTTAAATATGGCAGAGTTGGTCCTCCATATGCGTGGGGTTTCTTGCTCTACATCTGTTGCAGCAAACCCAAACCAGTTCCAAACAACAGATGATTTTATTCCTTTTTTTAAGGACCAACTTCCCACTCTCACTAGTAGCCATGTTGTCGTTTACCGAAATGCACCATTGAGTAATACTGCAGCTCTGGAAGCTCCAGGGAGCCAAAATTGCAGCGTTTAACAAAACAATCTTTTATTTTAATCATTTGCAACAAGAAATTCAAATTAATTAATTGAATCGATTTTTTGTCATGGCCTAAATCAGTACCTGAGAAAAGTTGACTAAAGTAACACTCAAGTGGTTAATATTCTGCAAACCTTTTAGAATTCACTCAAACCAATTTAAACAGCTCCCCAAGTGTTAAGATTGACTTGCAATAGCACAATTCTTTATACAAACATAAAAACAATAAAAATCAGCAAGACTGCAAAAGGACCAGAACATATTGGCAATATTAAGCAAAATGTTGCTGAACATAAAAGTCCGGAACTGAACTTTTCTGTTGACAGTTTAAGTAAAATTCCAGAGCAGGTTTCCTTTTAACAGTTCAATGGAGACAAAGCAGTTACTTCTGCAATATCTATAATAAAAGTAAACTGTCCAGTTAGTTATTATTACAGGACACATAATGAATAAAATGAATAAATAGGCAATAACTAACCCTGCCCAATGAAAAAGTCCAAAATAGCTCAACACATTGACTAATACGTTAAGTATGATAAAAACAAACTATTTTCACTTTTTTTTTCTTTTTTCTTTATCTGCATGCAGCTCTTGTCAATAAAAACCTCAGTTCTTCCACCTACCTGCATGGCAGTGAGGCAGTGCTGGACG